CATTATCCCATGCCCTAAGTCAGGATGTCCAGCAGTCTCGGCGATGTTGCCTAAAAGGAGCAGCCTCGGTAGCGCTCGGTACATAGAAACGCTATCCATGCAAATCGTTATGCTCAAAACAAAAATGGTGTCGAATGAAGTGGAAAGAAGCATACTTTGTCATATCTACGATAACAGGAGCTCCTTAAGCAGGTGTGGTTATAGTGTTGATCAGATTTCTGGCCGCTAAGTTAATCTTGACATCCATGGCCCAAATCAAATAATTTCTGCCATCAATGGCAAGCTCAGCAAGTTCCTTCAATGGCAAGCCATACTCTGCATGACATTATCATGCATATTAATTTAATCTCATGTAAATTAATTGTATGTAAAATAAAATGCTTGATTCGAATATAAAGGTCTAGGAAAAGCCTAAAAGACCAAAAATATGGCTTTCTACAAAAGATAATTACCATAAAATAGCGTAGATCTTTGTTTTATAGAACACATAGAGATAGCCTCCACGAAGTGGTGTAGGCACTTGTATGGCTATTTTCATACCATAATATGTGTGCTTTCATTTTTTGCTTTGAGGCAACCACTACCATGTAGTGTAGACCTATATTCTTATGATACTTTGCACAACCTTGTGTTAATTAAACACTTTGAAGGTAATCACCAGGTGGTGTAGACCTCACACTTGTGAACAAAGCGATAGCCATAATTGCAATCCATAAGATATGTGTAAAAACTGAAAGTAGTCATATAATTTTCAAGCATAATCAATATGTAGCAATTAGAAATTGCACCCATAAACATGTTGACATTACATAAGCAGACATTATATAGTACTATGTTAGGAAATACTTACAAACACATATGTATAAAAACTGAAAATGGCATAAGCTAATCAAAAAAGAAAACGAAAAATAATGGCAAAAGGCTAGAACATTACAGCCTACTACCGTGGCTAACCCACCTTCTTTCTTTTCATTTTTTATTCTTCTTTTTTCGCTGCTTGTACAGCATGGGCTAGAGCCCGACTACTCAACCAGGCCTACTGATTGCCAATCAACAGCCTGTACGCAAGAGTAGATGGATAAGGGAGGCGACAGACATCTCGTTCACATCGACTAAATCATTGATGACCCATAAGTATGGAGGATCAATTGTAGCTCTTTTCGATAAATAAAAGTGTCGAACCCAATGAGGAGCAGAAGGAAATGGCAAGTAGTTTTTCAGTAAGGTAATGTCTGCAAGTGCTGAAATTGTAAGTAGCAGAGTAGTTTGATAGTAAGATAATTTGTAACGAGCAAGTAACGATAGTAGTAACAAAAGTGCAGCAAGGTAGCCCAATCCTTTTGAGACAAAGGACAGACCAAAACGGTCTCTTATGATAAACAACGTTTTTGAGGGTACACGGGAATTTCATCTAGTCACTGTTATCATGTTGGTTTAATTCGTGTTTGCTACTTTGATAATTTGATATGTGGGTGGACCGGTGCTTAGGTGCTGTTCTTACTTGGAAAAACCTTCTACTTATGATTAACCCTCGCGCAAGCATCCGCAACTACGAGAAAAGTATTAAGAATAAATAATAACCATAGCATTAAACTTTTGGATCCAATCGGTCCCTTACGGAATAGCGCATAAACTGGGGTTTAAGCTTTTGTCACTCTCGCAAGCCATCATCTAATTGCTACTCCACAATTCATTCCCTTAAGCCTAAATATGGTGAAATGTCATGTAGTCGACGTTCGCATGACACCACTAAGGGAATCAAAACATACATACTATCAAAATATCGAACACACATATCAAATTCACATGATTACTTGGAACATGATTTCTCCCGTGACCTCAAGAACAAAGGGGGTAACTACTCACAAATGATAAACATGCTCATGATCAGAGGAGTATTAAATGGCATAATGGATCTGGACATATGATCTTCCACCAAATAAACCATATAGTAATCAACTACCAGATATAATCAACACTACTAGTCACCCACAAGTACCAATCTATAGTTCCAGTAACAAGATTGAACACAAGAGATGAACTAGGGTTTGAGAGGAGATGGTGCTGTTGAAGATGTTGATGGAGATTTCCCTCCCCAAGATGGGAGAGTTGTTGGTGATGATGATGACGATGATTTCCCCCTTCGGGGGGGAAGTTCCCCCGACGGAATTTCTCCATCGAAGGGCAAAAGTGCTCCTACCCAAGTTCCGCCTCGAGGCAGCGGCGCTTCGTCCCAAAAGTACTCTCCTTATTTTTTTAGGTTAAAATGACTTATATACCAAAAGATGGGCACCGGAGGTGGGCCGAGGAGCTCACAACCCACCAGGGTGCGCCCAGGTGGGTTGTGCCCACCTGGTGGGGCCCCTCTGGTAGTTATTTGCTCCAACAATTCTTATGGATTCCATAAAAAATCTTCGTGAAGTTTCAGCTTGTTTGGAGTTGTGCAGAATAGTTAGCCTGACGTAGCTTTTTCAGGTCCAGATTTCCAGATGTCGGAATTCTTCCTCTTGGTGTGTACCTTGCAAATTATGAGAGAAAAGGCATTAGAATTACTCCAAAGAGCATTATTATGGATAAAAAATCTATAAATAACAGTAAGAAAACATGATTCAAAATGGACGTATCAACTCCCCCAAGCTTAGACCTCGCTTTTCCTCAAGCGAAAACTGAAATTGAAAAATCTGTCCACATGCTTTGAGAGAGAGGTGGCGATAAAAACAAAATACGGACATAGAAGCATCATGTTGATAACAACAACAAAATTAAACATAGGAATTTTATCATAGAACTTTTATCATATACTTCTCATGAATAAGTTGTTAGAGTTGTGTCGAATATTATTGTACGAGGTAGGTTACAGTTGGACTTGGTTTTGGACTGTGTGTAGACAGGGTAGGAGTTGTGTCCTAATAGGACACTTGTATCCTAGGTGTCGGTGTCAAAACCGGTGGATCTCGGGTAGGGGGTCCCAAACTGTGCGTCTAGGCCGGATGGTAACAGGAGGCAAGGGACACGAAGTTTTACCCAGGTTCGGGCCCTCTCGATGGAGGTAAAACCCTACGTCCTGCTTGATTAATATTGATGATATGGGTAGTACAAGAGTGGATCTACCACGAGATCGGAGAGGCTAAACCCTAGAAACTAGCCTATGGTATGATTGTTGTTGTCTATGTTGTCCTTCGGACTAAAACCCTCCGGTTTATATAGACACCGGAGAGGGTTAGGGTTACACAAAGTCGGTTACAATGGTAGGAGATCTGTATAATCGCCAAGCTTGCCTTCCACGCCAAGGAAAGTCCCTTCCGGACACGGGACAAAGTCTTCAATCTTGTATCTTCATAGTCCAGGAGTCCGGCTGAAGGTATAGTCCGGCCATCCGGACACCCCCTAATCCAGGACTCCCTCAGTAGCCCCTGAACCAGGCTTCAATGACGACGAGTCCGGCGCGCAGTTTGTCTTCGGCATTGCAAGGCGGGTTCCTCCTCCAAGTACTTCATAGAAGATTTTGAACACAAAGATAGTGTCTGGCTCTGCAAAATAAGTTTCCACATATTGCCATAGAGAGAACAATATTTACACAAATCTAATCTGCTGACGTACTCCGTAGTGCGACACACCACGGCCAAGCCTTTATCCGAGTCGTTTCATTATCCTACCTCAGCGCGTTATGCGAGGCGGTTTCCTTGGCACATCTTGTCAAAGCAGAGATCGTGTCCCCTTATTCCGGGATTCTCATTAATACGGGCGTGGGTAACCCAACCGCTTCTAGGACTCCTAGATTATAGGCAAGTCCAAACGGACACGGAGAGGACGCTTGATATCCACCCTCTTTATAAAGGGACAAGGCCTTTTATTTTTCCCTCCCGTGCTCAATCGAACCCTTCCCCCACCCCAAGCTCGAACGCCCAAAGCTCAGGTCAGGTGCTCTGAACCTTCAGTCATGTCCGGATCTAGCCTTCAAGGCCGATGGGTGTCTTCCTCCGTCACGGAAGAAGACATCAAAAAGTTGAGGGAGGCCAGATATCTAACCGCCGAGATTTTGCATCGGCTGCCTCCCCGTGGGCAGGCCGTCCCCTCGCCCAAACCCAACGAGAGCGTTGTGTTCGTCTCCCACTTTCTTTGAGGTCTAGGCCTTGCTCTGGATCCTTTTGTCAGGGGCTTGATGTTTTACTATGGGCTAGATTTCCATGATCTAGCTCCGGACTCCTTTCTTCATATCACGACACTTATTGTCATGTGCGAGGCCTTCCTCCGGGTTACCCCC